CCAAAAAATACATTACAAAACACAAAAACCATTACAAAGAGTTTCACAAAAATTAAAGATCCCTAAAATTGTAAATTAAATATTGGTTGTTTTCCTTCCACGCCATAACCTAGCTGCAAATTGACATCGGAAATCAGCCATGTGTTCAGAACTGCAGTCCGGGCTTAATGGTAAGGCTAGCAACAAATACTCTAGAAATGATAGCACCATCACTCCACAATTCTCATACCTGTAAGGGAAAATAGTATTAAAATAACAAGCAAACCTCTTTCACAAACAATAATGTTTTATGAAGTTCAATAAACAGAAGTTAATCGTCTATGAGATACAATTCACAGAAAGCAAGCAAAAATAACAAGCAGACCTCTTTCACAGACAATAATGTTATATGAAGTTTAAATAACAAAACTTAACCATCTATGCCATACAATTCGCACAGTAAGCAGAAATAACAAGCAAACCTATTTCACAGAGTCCAATAACAAGTGGGGTACATGCTAAGGACCATGCTACATTTACACCAAAAAATGTACATATAGCTTAATCCAAAATCTAAAGTGTTTCCCCAAAAAAATACATTACTTGTTCGGAGGGGTGGGGCTGCCGGCGCTGGAGCTGGAGGGGTGGGGCTGCCGGCGCTGCCATGCTCTCGACGGAGAAGAAGGACGTGGAATTGGAGTTGTCCGAATTCTGTCGCTTGTGGAGGTTGAAGTGAGAGAATGGAGATTTGGGAATTTTGGGGAAGAAGGTGGGAGAGGAAAAGACTAAGAAAAAAGGAAAATAAAAAAAATTAAATATATTGGGTGGCATGCTTGGAGGCACATGTGGTGCCTCTTTAGCATTCTCCAACATTTAAATTGCATGCTACACCCCCCACCCTTGCTACCAATCTTGCCTCCACCCACTTCTCTACCACATATTTATCTCTATCTATTCTCCACCCACCCTCTAATTTTAATTTTCTTGCCTCCCTGCCACGTGTTTATGTAGGGGGCATGGGTGGTAGCAAGGGTGGGGGGTTTTTAGCATTTTCCATAAATTGTAAGGATATGATTCTGATTCTTTAGGACAAAACGATTAGGGGTCCACCAACAAAAGGTCGTGAGCAGCTACTCGTATATCCTTTCGTACTTGTTCCGGAACGCCCTCCCCAATTTTTCCATGGCTCGTTGCATCCAGCAAACCCTAAATCTCATCCGAGCCAGCTACCGAACCATCGCCGGCGCCAAATCTCCATCATCGGCAGCCTTTGCTTCGTCCTTCCTGCCCTCATCTCGGAGAGTTTCGAGTCTTTCCGATTGCTCCGCTAAGAGCGGGTCGGCCGACGTCCCTGATGCGGAGGCGATTGCAGTGCAGCGGATCGAGGACGCCATCCACCGCATCATCGTTCTCAAATCCGCTCCCGATTGGCTTCCTTTTGTTCCAGGTGCTTCTTATTGGGTCCCACCTCGTCGCGGCTCCTATGGCATTGCCAAGATTGTTCATAAGCTGTCAAATTCTCTTTCTGAAGAGGAGGTTATGTCCCTAACCTCTGATCGCGGCTGGCCTTCTTCCTCTTTCTATGTCGATGGTACATGAACCTATTATCCAAGCATTTTTGTTGCAAATTGCAAGTGTTTTGGGTCACGCTAGTGATTTACGTAGGCAATTGAAGGAACCTGAAATATTCTTAAGCTAACTTATTCATTCAGGGATGTGTGCTTGTCTGTATAATTGGATCAGAATTGAATACAAAAATTACCTTTCTCCGGGCTTCGATCTTAAGCTAATTCAGAGCTATGTGTTGCTTCGGTGTACCTTATAGCTTTTGCTCGTTAGCTAAGCTTAAGCTGGGATTTTAGTTTACACTGGCGTGGGTTGCTATGTGATTGAACCTTTGTTGAATTTTGGCATTTATAAATATTGGTACCATATTACTCTGCTGTTATAAACTTTCTTATGATTTTATGTGTTCATCTCTATTAGTTACTATGAGTACAATTGATTGTGTCCGAAATAATAAAATTTAGAGTTTCACCTATGGATTCAATCATGGGGGACAATACATTTTGTAATTTTCTCAGCAAGTAGCACTTTGAGAATCCATTAGATTTGGACTGCCAGACGGACATAATACATTTTGTAAAATATGTGATTAAATATGCCAATGGAGCTAAGATAGCTTTTTTGACGAGGTATTGGCTTCAGGAAAGTAATGGATTAAATCATAGTGGTTCATTATTATTTTCTTCTTCTTTCTATGAAGTTTTCGTTAAGTGCAACATTGCATTGAGCGTCTTAAAAGAAATAGTCTCTCTGGTGTTAGAAAGGTTGCGTTCCCTTCAGACCCCAACGATATTGAGATTATACTGGATTTGTAGTAGTAGTAGCTTTTACTGTAATATGCATATGCTATGCTGTCTGAAATTGTAATTAATTTTCAATTTTCCTGGTTATGACTTCTCTGGTCTACTCTAAGATCACCACATCGTTCTGGTAGCCTTGTTCGACATTTTCTGCTGGTTGTCAAAAAAAATTAGTTAATCCACATCCACACTGACCCTTTTTTCTGGGCAACCAACTTACCGGTGCATTATTTATTAAGCAGAGAAGGAAGCTGCCCACAATTGCACCTCTCAGGATGAGGACGAGGACGACGATGACTGAATACAACTTAACAATGGCTTATTTGATCTCTAAGGTCAGTTAAAAGTTTTGGTTTATTTATTTATTTATTTTTAGAAAATCTGTTATCAACTTGACTTCCTTTTTTACTTGCAAATGATGACCTGCTAATATCTTTGAGCCATTGGGGGCATTCAAATACTTTTCCATGGCTTGTTTATTAGAACCTTTTTATCAAGGATAAAGTATGGACTACCAACTTTTGGTTAATACAAATGCATTAGATTCAAAGAACACGCACGAACACGCACGCATGCACCAAATCATGTGTAAGAACTGGGCAACTGCCACAAACTGATTTGAATAATACATTGTATATCTTCACAATATAGTGGAATTCTACTGGTTTTTCTTGTATGTTTTATACTTGAAGAAATCCTTCTTTTGTTTTGTTTATAAGGATTGCTTTGATCATTATTATTATTATTATTATTATGAATTAATTTGTACAATTATTGTTGTTGTTGTTGTTAGGAAATTATTAATTAAACATATGTACTGATGTTTTATTGATAGGAACAGTGGTGCAAATCTACCGATGTCATGCTGTAAATATACCACCAAACTGCTATATGTTATCTTTATTGTATTTCCTCTTCATTGTAACGCTTTGTAATTATTATCCTATTTACAGGTTAAAGTCCCTTCTGTACAATTACGGAACCCCCTCTTATTATAACATGAATCAAATTAGTACTTCCTTCTTCTCCAACTCAATTGCCTGTTTATTATTCACCTTGTCAAATTTTATTTGCTTTATTTTCTAATTTTAGTTAGTTATTTAATTAAAATTTATAGTCATGTCAATAGTTATTTTTTAAATTTTTTGATGTAGTTTTAAATAGATGTAAATTTTACTCATATAGATTGATTTGAAATTTACTTTAGAAAAAACATGGTAACTTGAAAATGTACTTAAAAATGGGATGAAATTCTATCTATTTAGGCTGTTTGAATAATCTTTTGTGGAGTATTGGCCATGTTTCGAAAACGGGTGATCGGGTAGAAGTGAGCGGGTTAAAGGCGGGTCTTAGTTTTCGAACCAATATTTGAAACGTCGGCCTTTGTGGCACTTTTGTTTGGCCGCTGCATTTCTTCCTTTTATGCCCTTTTTGTTCACTTGTACGCCTAGGGGTGGACACGGTACGGTTCCGGTTCCGGAACCGCCGATTCTGGTACCGCCACCCCATGGCACCGGTACCGTGACCGGACCGGCTGGTACCGGTTCCGGTTCCCGGACCGGCGGTTCCGGTACCGGACCGGCCGGTTTTGCCTCCCCCCACTTTTTTTTTTTGCTTTTTTTAATATTTTTGAAGTGTGCAGATCTGTAGAAGACTAATCCCTCCGTGTGCTGATCTGTGTAAAGCAATCCGAATTGCCGATCTGTTTAATACTCCGTATTTTTTTGTTGCAGCCACTTGTTCCTCCCGTTGAAAACTAGTTCCCCCCTTCTCTTTAATGTTTCCCTTCTTTTTTTGCAGGTGGACAAGTGGTTGGCAGATCTATTGCAGGTGCAGGAAAAAAAATAAAGTAACGGTACCGGTACCGGCAGTTCCGAGACGAAAATTTGGGTACCGGTACCAGTTGGGGCCGTTCTGGTACCGGTTCCCGGCACCGGTGGGACGTGCCGTGCGACGGTGACGGTAGATGGTACCGGCGGTACCGTTGCCGGTAACGGTACCGTACTGGTACCGTGTCCAGCCCTATGTACGCCTATGGAAATTCCATTGCTGGACACAAAAAAAGAGAGGAAAGTCAGTATTGTTTTGGTTTGGTTATTAAATGAAATAAAGTACTTACAACTTTGTGTTTGTATATAAATATTTTGATTACATAAGCAAATGATTCTTCGTTTTATATGCAAGTAATAAATATAGACATACATAATGTGGAAATAAAATATTTTATATTATATTTTATAAATTATGGAGTATGTCTCAAGGAGTACAATTTACTTTGTATGGAGTAAATTATAATGCATAGAAACTTGTTTAAAATGTCAATTTATCTTAAAAACTACTTATGAGCAATTAAGTTTGCCAAATTCTATTGTGAATCTAAGGTTCAACATGGGCCTACATATGAACAAAATAAACATTTCTTTATTACTTAAATAAACATCTATTTTTTTAATTTAAAAAATAAAAAAAAAATTAATGTAAGAAAGTCTACTAAAATGATATGCACTCAAAGTACACCAAAGAACTCAAACGGTTGTTTAAATCAGGCAACCCCTAATTACCAAACATGGTCACTATATTTCATGTGATTTCAAGTTTATGATCAATGAGAACTCATTTTATTTTGAATCGGGCATTGCTATGTCTCCCTCATGTTATACTCTCGGTCTCAAAAAATAAAATTTTAATCACTTTTTAGGTGCCATGATAACACTTATGTTCTTTTTAAATAATGAACATATGGGTTGTAAGATTTCTCTCATTAAACAAATTCTACTTAATTTTTTTTACTTACAATTTTGTTAGGTTCCGTACAAGTTAAAAAGGTTATTTTTTTTAAGGGGATGGAAGAAGGGCAAACTTCAATGAGTGGAACATAAAGAGAGAAGAAAAAGAAAAAAACAAGAAACGGCCAAACGAAGTGAAAAGAAAAAAAGAAATGAATATGTAAGGCAGTAAAATAGTACGGCAAAAAATAGTGCTAGGGTTCGACGGTCAAAAAATCGTGAAATGATCAGAAATGATCAAAGATCCAACCTATAACTGGTAAGACAGAACTGTAAGTGATTACCAAACCTGAAATGTCTTAAGCTGAAACTAAAATTGAAATGATCAGAAAAGTAAAGATCCAATCTATAAATAAATACACGAAATAATCCAAATTGAACTAAATGTATGCATAAAGGATTTATATTCAAAACTGATTAGACTCACACCCAAGAAAACATGAAACCGATTACTCCGTATATCTTTTCAATAAACATGTTATAATTATGTGCACCAACGTACAACTACAATTTTGTAATTTCAAATTTATTTTATTTTATCACTTGAACACAAGTTTGTTATAAATTTAAATACTTCCTTCGTCCTAATTTTTTTTACAAACCCCTCCATCCCGGCCTAGCCTAAACTCACCCCTAACCCTTTCAATTTCATCCTCATAATTTTGTTGACTCTGGAGTCAAAATATTTTACCCCAAAGTCAACAAAACTTTGGGGATGAAACTAAAGGGGTAGGGGGGATGGGTTAGGTCAGGCCATGGTTGGGGGTTTTACCGGGTGGTTAAGGGGTAGAAATCATCATTTTTTACAAACGGAGCGCCGTAGGCATCTCAAAATCCCAGTGGCACAGTGAACAGACCACAGAGATGGATATTTTTGCACATATTTTCTTACAAGAACCACTTCTAAGTATAAATGCAAATTTTTCTAACCTGGCAGCCATGATCTTGAAGCTGTAATTGGCTCTAATATCCTCGCATTTTACAAGAGAAGCCACCTAGAAATCAATCCTCCAGGTTTAAGGCCCAAAAACGAAGCTTCATACTGCAAAGGCCTGACTGTCACCTTGAGTATTTATCGACAAGCGCCTTTGCATTCTTCGGTGCATAGAACCGTGCCTGTTGTAGAAATTAAATGTGGCGATTATGCTAGACAAAGACATTGGAGGAGCATTTTTGGGCATTTATAAACTCACCTGGATGAACATTCTCTCAGCATCTCCAACATTTCCATTCTCTTTCAAAATGATCCCCTGCCGAAACACAAAAAAGATTAATCATACATTTTAAATTTCTGTCAGTGAAATGAGTGTCGTCAAGAAAAAGATAGATATGAACCTTTGCTAGGTAAGCCCTAAAATCATTGGGGTAGCTAGAGATGAGTTTATCATAAACAGCTACAGCATCACTGACATGCCCCCAATCTGAGTAGGCTTTTCCGAGAAGCAACTCAACCTAAATTAAGACCAAACAACATATTTTCTGCTTTATCTCCTTAATCTGTCATGTAATCTGCTAAATACTAATATTGAAAAAGCAATCAACAGGCATTTGGTTCATATCCAGGAATGCAGTCAAAGTTGAATTTGATTTGCTTCCCCAAGGAGATCACTTTCTATTCATCAATTTCCATGGGATGTTAAGAAATTCTAAGCTAAAGGTGAACATACTGCACCCAGGCTCACATTGTGTTGATTATGATGAAAAATAAATACTCCCTCCGTCCCAAAATGAGATTTCCACTTTGATTTATGTTATGAAATTCTAAGCTAACAGTGAACATACTCCACCTAGGCTCACATTGTGTTGGTCATGATGAAAAATAAATACACCCTCCGTCCCAAAATGAGATTTCCACTTTGACTTCACGGAGTTAAAGAAAATTGTTTAAAAGTGAAACATGTGATTGAGACTCATTTGGAAGAGAGAAATGATCAGAGCCACATATTCATTTCCTAGAAGGGAAAGAGGAAAAGTCTAAACTTCATTTTGGGATAGGAGTAGCTTATAGTTGATACTTTCTTTAGGAAAGTAGGTACTTTCCAACATAACTGGTAGATATTATTGTAGTCCCTGTAACTGTCTCCTGCACCCCCCCCCCACGCGCGCACACACACACACACCACCACCACCAAATCAATATATCCCTTGCTTCAACATACTAGGATTGGATCCACTTGTGATCCAGGTTTGGCGCCACTGCTGTCAGATCCACCATTAACACTAGATATTTTTTCCTCACTCGGGCGTTCACGAGATGCCAGGAGCATTTGAACAGCCTGCAAAAGAAGCATGTGTTAATGGGATTTTAACTCACTGCAGATTCCTGCATTTGTGATGCATGACAGTTTTTCCCCTGTTGGGGGAAAAGGTCACTGCAGATTCCTGCATTTGTGATGCATGACAGTTTTTCCCCTGTTGGGGGGAAAAGGTGTTGGGACAGAAAAAAGTGTGCTGCGAGAGAGGCAGGAAATGCATGGATTCTGGGTCAGTAGTAAATGCTGTTATTCCTCGGGGCAAGCTTGACATTTGTTAGGGAAAGTAGTTGTACTTTTCGAGCAGTGAGAAAGCCAACCTGATCAGGTTTCTTGGCAGCGATCAGTGCATTTGTCAAGCCTCGGAGAACTTCAAAATCAGTAGATTTTGATGCCTATATACAACCACAATAGTATTTATATGCTTGAAAAAAAACAGGCAAGTAAAAATATCAACACATGCTGCCCACATGTTGGCACCAAAATCAGATTCGGCATCACAGCATGTTAAGAACAAACTTAGTGGTGGTTTGCAGCAGTAATCATGATGAAATATCTGAACAGAATCAATAGGTGTGAAATACTGACCGCTGCCGAACTTCTAAAAGCCGTAGCACTGCCCTCATAATCTCCAAGTTCATACTTAACTTCTCCAAGCAAACGAAACACATCAGGGTCGTTTGGCTTTGCCTGCAATCCCAACAGGTGATTTCTTACGTAGTATGAGAAATTTGAGATATGCGAACAACTTTTTGCGTGAATAAAAAAACTTTGACAACACAAACCTTAGTTAAATTCTCCAGGAGAGAGGAGGCTCTACTGTATTCACCTAATTCTGCTAAGGTCACAGCTGCTCCCTGCAAGCAACCATAATAATTGTGAGCTCAACCCATTGATACAAGAAGTCAAACTAAAGAAAATAAAAATGTTTTAGTTCGGTCCAAACAAAGCGTTCCCAATCAAGAACTCTTCTTGTACCAAAAGAATTAAAGGAATCTGATTTTAAAAGTCAACTACTCCAGTATAATACTTGGATAAAAGCCCAGAGTAAAACAGTTTTAGTTTTTAGGCAATTACTCCAGACAATCTTGAAAATAAGTTTTAGGGTTATATTGCCTATTCTCGACTTGCAAAAGTTTGTAACTTGATTGAGTTGTCTAAAAATAAAAAGTTATACCGTATTCAAACAAGACTCCTTTCAAAGACAAGGGAGTAGGAGACAAGCAATTGCTCAAACAAGATTTTAGTAAGTTCCGTGTCAAATAAGGACGCTCAAAACACCATCATCCCTAAAATATTATAGTAAGTCAAATGACACTTACTATAATGTACTCCCTCCGTCCCACTCTTTTTGTCCACTTTCATTTTTACACATCTACCAAGGAAGGATGATTTAGTAGAGGAAGTTACAAAAATACCCTTAGGCACCCTCAACAAGTCAACAATATAGGCTACAAAACTTTCCTCACTGTGCGGGTTTGGCCTTTCCCCTTCGCCTATGATTTCTCTATTCTTGTCATCCTCTATCTTAAACAAACAACACTTTGGGATATTGGGGAAGTGCGCTAACAGATGTGATAATCATTATCAATTTCACCTCTCTATTTCTAGACTATTGGACATTTGGGGATGACCCGACTCATATGACTGCATTATTTGCAGCTGTAGAGGTGTGAATTCCCAATTTGTCTGTCGTTGAACACGATCTAAGCTCTAGAGCTCGAATCGGAGAGAGGAAAGGCGTCGTCTCTGTGTATTTTCATTGATAGGGAAGGTTGGAGGAAAGATTTTGTCATTGTTAGGTATCCGCATCTCAGTAGATGGAGTTGGAAGATCAAATCATCGAAGGAGGCAAGGGTAAAGAAACGGCGTTAGAGGATGATGTATTGATGTTGGGCTTAGGCGAGAATGAGGTTGGAAAGACTGGTAGAGATAGGGGTAAAGAGAATGGGAAGAGAGGGCATATTTGTCATTCCAGCACTTTTTACTTTACTAAAAATAGTAAGTGGACGAATACAGTGGGACGTCCCAAAAAGGAATACTCGACAAAAACACTGGGACGGAGGGAGTATCATCTAAGAAGCTGAAAATTGTAAATCCCCAAAATTTGAGGCCGGGCATAGATGACTGTCGACACAGCAATTAAATAAATACCAAATGACAGGGAAAGCAGATCAGAGTAATTCATTTCCATTAAAACAGGTAATACGGAGTAATTATTATTTTTACATACTTTCAACTCTCAAGTGAAAAACAGACCTCCAAATTGAGCAAACATGAGCTAAAACTATTTAATGTGGAATTATACACTATAAAATTACTAGATGAGGGCCAAAACTAACTTCAAGGGCTGTCGGATCATCTGGGGAGGTGGCAAGGGTGTCCTCGAACTGCTTCAGTCTCTTCTACAAAACAAATGAGCGTAACATTTCAATATCAGCAGCGAAAATAATTTTAGAAACAAACAAGCATACATTAAGTCCCGACAGCTTGAAACTGAATATGATCGGAATTACATGTATGATGTATAGATTTATAGTCAGGCCTACAAGCTTTCTTTATGAGCGTGTACACATTTGCCTGCTAAAGAATGATGATTCCTAGAATGAGATACAGACAGTCCCTTTTCACATTAGGACTTAGAAACTCACTACACTTCAAAAAATAATCACAGAAGTAGTAGCTAAAAAGGAAAGAATAGATTGAAACTATTTGTATTTTACATCAACTGAGCAAATGAAACAATCTTGCTCCGATACCAATTGTTAGACAGGACCATATCAAAGCAAAGTAGAATATTTTATTGATGTGTACCATTACAGGATTCATTGTGTTCTCTAATATAAATAGAGAACAAACCAACACAACTTTTACTAACCAACACAACTATTACAAACCAACACACCTATTAACATTAGAAACTACCCATAACTGCATTTTAGAAACTACCCAACTGTTTTTTATTTAAATTAATTAAATATGTAAAACACACTAAACGACACCATACTAACGGACTCGAACATTGACCTATTACCCATTTGGTTATATGTAATATGTGAACAAACCCGATTAAATCTAACATACTACACAGACTATGAGAGAAATTTGATTAGTGCCACACGTTTTACCTGAAGGCTTGCTTTCTTCTCTTCTGAAATTTTCTTATCAACAGTGGTGACTTCATTTGTGGGACTAACAATAGACATCACAAGGCCATGTCAGGATCATATTTGGCTCGTGAAGAAATATAAGATATGATGGTTTAAAGAAGACAATAACATTTATGAAGCATGGCTAACCAGGAAGTAGCATTCACCTAATAATTCCATTTCATATTTTTTTCTTCCGAGATATAGAAAAAATAAATAAATTCAACGATAACTCAAGGACATAATGATATATTGGCAAGTTCTAATATCTATTAATGGTAGATGGGCAAATGTTGAGAAAATGCGAGAAGTAAAATTCAACAAGTGCTCTCCAGCTCGAAGATTCAACCTCACCTTCCAGTGGGAAGAAAGTCCCCAATGGCAAAAATCAACCCAAAAGCCACAACAGCAACTCCTACTCCAATCTGTAAAGTTCCATGATGTTGCTATTCTTAACCCATAATAAAGTGAAGAGAAACACGCCCTGATGGAATTATACATAAGTCAAGAATGCTACCTTAGTACCTAGTCCAACTGTCCTACTTTTGGTCTCAACTGGAGTATCATAATCAATTGCTGCAAACTGCTTATCTTCCTCAGCTTTTTTCTGCTCCAGTGCTGACCTAACCAAGTAATGGGAGCACTGATAAAACTGAACATTTAAAAGCGTGACTTTATTGTTCTCAGTGCCATTTTAATTACTAAAAAGATGAACTGAATCGCAAGGACACCTTCTAACTGCTTGCAGTCGTTCCTCAAACTGAACATCAGACACACTGTTTGTTAACTTCAACACATTGTTTTGGGAATTTAGAACAGGTGCTTCTGCAAGTGGGAAAAATAACGCCTTGAAAGCATAGTACAATTCAATCAGGAACCCTAGAGTCTATGAGACATCCATAGCCCCAACGAAAATGGAGTAATGAATAACAACTTACTAGTAAGGTTGGTGCCAGTTCGTTGAGAGTGAAATTTCCTGCCATAAATTTTTTTTATTGCACAGAATATTTATCTGCTCTAGGAATAGCCCTTTCCCTAAATATGACTAGTAATAATAAATCTCTCTCTTTTGAGAAGAATTAGGAAAACCTCAAATCGCACAAACAAACACACACACACACAGAAGTGCGCAAGAAGGTGAAGTACCTAGAGTCCCTTCCGCCAGTTGAAGATTTCTTCTTGACCTAAAGGCCGCCGATAAGCACCAGCTTTACGAAATTAGATTGGAGGAGGACGTCTTCTTCCATTTATACAAGGAATAAAGCTGAGGAAAATACTTGATTGAGACATACATACCTTGGATTCGTCAGTGCCAAACCCACGGTTGGGTGAATTGGAGCAGCAGCTTGTTCGCGGAAAAGTTGAATTGCGCTTGCTGATGAGCGAGGAGTGGTTACTGTTAGCGAAGGCGGAAGGAGAAGCAGACGGGCACGGAAAATGTGGCCGGCGGAGGCTACTCAGCCAGGGGCGGCGTGTGGAAGAAGAAGCAGCAGAATGAACGGTTACTACCATTGCAACCCCCATCTCTTTCCTCCCTCCCTCTCGTGTCCGTTTGCAATACACTGGTGCAAACGCCCTTCCTGCCAGCCCAGACAGAAACCCACATGGGACAGTGGTAGGCCTGGCCTGAGCCCGAATTATATTTAGGCGGATAAGTTACTTTTAGCTTATCCAGCCCAATAGGACCACCCATAATCATCGAAAATATTCAGTTTATTATTAATTATCTAGCCAATATAATTTTGAAAATTGTTATAGTTCATGAATAATGGTTTAATTTACTCACTTCTCTTAAACAAAAATCAATTTTCTTTTAATGAATTAGTGTGATGAATTTATTAATTATGCAACAATACCACTCTTATGCTTTTAATGTAAATTTGATTAGTGGTGATTTTATTTTAAACACTGAAAAAAGAGTTCAATGTTTTTTTTGGATTTTTTGTGCAAAAAAAGTTTTCTTGGGGTTTTATCCGGGCCGGGCGGCCCGATGGGTAATTCCACCCGCTAAGGTGGGCGGGTATGGATAAAGAGTTTAGCCCATCAAATTCGGGTCGGGCTAGACCCGCCCATGTAAATGAGCTAATAATTTGTATCCAGCCTGGCCCAGATCCTTATTTGCACAGGTCTAGTTTGCAACCACCATCTCTTTCGGGTGGATCAAATAACCCGATGGGATGACCCCGGGCGGTCTGCTCTAGTTCTTAATTTTGACTTTGGAGTGCAATTGAAAGGGGTGGAGGTGTGTCCGGGTCGGGGCGGGTGAGGGGTTTATCGGAGGGATTAGAGGGGTAGAAATTGTCAATTTTACCCACGATACACCAGATCGCCCTCAGATCATCCCATGACATGGCCGGGCAATATCAATGGAACTGTCTCGGATAACATTTACCATCTATGTTTGGATAGAGTACATCTTTACATAAAATTGGATCAAGTTTTGATTAAATAAAAAATGAAGAAAGTTGATATATTTTTAATGTAAATATCTTTTACAATATAATGGCAAAGGGAAAAAATAAATAGGGACTTTTCCTGCCAAACGAAACCGAGTATGGATGGGCGATGCAGAGTTCCAAACGAGTATGGGCATAGCAATGTTCACTTTATTGGAAAAAGTAACATCTCCATTAATTTGCACTAGGCAATGTGACATTGATTGTTGAAAAAGCAAAATTCTCTCTTTAAATACAATCGCTCCTCTTCTTTCTCCTTGAATAACTAAAACATTGTTAAAACTATATACAGATTACAACGGACAGGGAAGATGAACGGTTCTCGAAAAGTATAAAGTATATTCCGAATTTATAAGTTATTCAGAATATTACAAAAAAGCAAAAATTGAAAAACAACTTTTTAGATCTTCAAATGTCCTTGTTGTACCTGGACATTATGCACTCGTTTCTAAGTATTTCATTCTAGTCTGGTCCAAACCCGAATAGATTTAGGTCTGGTCTTCAGTCTGTGATTTTATTCAATTCGAATATTCGATCATCGATCCGGCTCAGTGCGGTCTTGGACCGATGAACAGCCATAGCTTTCTCTATCAAAGAATATGGAAACGTTTTTTCCCTTTTCTTTTCCCTCTCCCGCGTATATCTCACCAAAAAGTGGTGATCATGGAGCATCTTTTCTCCTTTTTATTAGGCTAGTAAGTTTGTACCTTCAATGTATTAAAGTACACTAATGATGGTCATTGGTACCTCTAGCATTAGTGGCATGTTATGTTGGACATGAGTTCAAACTCTTTTCTATATTTTGGAATATTCTTTTTGGTTTTGATAAATAACAAACAGGATGATTAAATTTAACGATGATCGAAAATTTATTTTTCGTATCGAGAAAAGCAAAGAGGCGTATCAAGGAATTTGCGGCGATAAAAACCTACGCAGAATTTTTGAAGTGAAGTGGAGATTCCGAAGGCTTTTATTTTTTATTAAGTCTAGGAATTTTTTGTAAGGATGAAAATAATTTTTGCATAAACAAATTAATTTTTGAGGGACAAATTATTATTTTCTGAGTTAGTTGAAAAATCATTTTTTCTCTGTCTAAAAATAATTTATTGAGTCAGTTTCAAAATAGTGTGTCAAAATTTCTTTAAAATATTTCTTAAGATACACAAATTTTTGTGGTAAGAAAAAAATATAATTTAAATATTTTTCAAGTACACCATTTGACACACAAAATATTTTTTGGACTCAATTTCTACACCAAAAATCATTTCGTAATTCAAATTTTGAATTTGAATTAATTCATTTTCAACCTATTTGATTTGTTTGTTTTTAGGAGCATTCTCATCCTGAAAACTTGTCTAAAACAAAATCAAAAATTCCAAATTGTACATCCCACTCGCACACATGTTTTGGGTCCTCATGTCTGTGCTTTATTCGTCAGGGGATTGATCCATTCAATTAGATCAATCACTTTATTTTTGAGTTCCTTGAAAGTAGGATCGATCCATTCAATTAGATCGATCACTTTATTTTTGGTAGTTTTCATCGGTGGATCGATCATCCTGCTTGGATTGATCCCCCGTGAGTCTGACAAAAATTCATTCCCGAATTCTAACTCCTTTGGATCGATCATTTGCCCTAGACCGATCTCCCGTGTTGTTGACAGAAATTAGCTTTCGAATTCTTACTTCAGGTGATCAATCCTCACCCCTGGATCGATCCCCAATGTTCACTTCTGTCAAAATCAGCTCTTCCCTACCTCCAACGGATTTATTTCTTTTAACCTTATAAATTCCCTCATCCTCCATCAAAAAAACATCTCTTGCACTCCAAACCTTCATTACTCAATATTCAACTCTTGCTTCCATGTTCCTCATCAAATATATTATTTTGAGAGTTAAGAAATATTTTTATTGAGTGCTAAAGACATTGTCATCCATATAGCTTTCATATTTCAACACTTCTTACTTATTTGTGAGCTTCATTTTTTGTGTTGTAAAACTCATCTTGTTTGAGTTGTTCTTAAGACTTGTATGACTCAAGTCTTGTTGTAAGAAGTTGAGGCTTGTGTGATTCAAGTTCTCAAGTTGTATCAGTTCTTCAAGCACCCGTTGAAGCTTGAAGATTAGTAGGACCTTTGAGAGATTCTCTCGGAGGACTGGACTAGCCACGAGGTGGTGAACCAGTATAAATCTCAGTGTTCTTCTTTCCCTTACTCTTTAAATTTATTCTTGCAATTTTTATTCCACACACGCAAAAATGCACATTCTTGAAAACAACTCTATTCACCCCCCCTCTAGAGTTGCACGTTTGTCTAACATGTTAATGATAGATCATTAACACGCCCGTTACACTACACCCCGTTTAAAATTTTTCCTGAATAATTGGAGATTAATGACCAATTAACTTCATAAATAATGGACTAATTTTAAACAACACGTAAAGATAACAATAGAAGATTGATTCAATAAAAATACAAAATTACAATCTTTTCCATATTCTTCTATTAACGGGTTAACTCTGAGAATCAATTTCTCATTCACCCAGCCTCTACCATTTTCGGCGTATAAATTATCAAAATATTTATCTCATTTAAGAGAACATACGTCCATTAAATAACAGTTAAAACTGATAGTGGATATAACACCCTAATCCGTCCAGGTCTGCATCCCCTTTCGGACTAAAGTATTAACTTGGTAACCGTAAATATTTAAAACATGTCAACCAATTCAAATTTTATTTCATAATATAATATTCATAACAGAAATAGTAACGAAGTTTTCAAAGTTGCAGAAGCGTAATTAAAAGATGTCACATCACAATTACAATTAATCAATTTATGCCTTTTGAAATAATAATTCAAAATAATCACATCCATCTTGGCAAATCTCGCCTCCATCTGCCGCCAGGAACACATGTAACATCAAGGAGCAAGCAACATTAAGAATATGACGATGTTTGCGTTCAACTTGCCCATTTTGTTGTGGGGTACCTACACAAGAAGTTTGAATAGAGACACTCATTTCTTGATAAAAATGAACCAAATAACGATATAAGAACTTGGTTTCATTATCTGAATGCACATATTATATAGTTTTATGGAATTGGGTATGGATAAAAGTAAAGATTTTTATCAATGATAAGATAAGACCAAATAGCTCTAGAATGATCATCAAAGAATGTTAAGAAATAATGAGCACTGATAAATAAACAAGGGGTGTATGGACCTCGTAGACCACAATAAATCAAATAAAATAATGCTTCAGCTTTATTATTACAAACTGGAAAAGTAGAACGAGTTTGTTGGGAATAAAAACAATTCTCACACGACTCGTGCCTTTTAATATCAGAACTAGTTTGATTGGTAGGAGGGGAAGACAAAACAGCATGGGAGGGATGACCAAGACGTCTTTGTAAGAGTGTAACTTGGTCGACATATGATGCTGAAGCAAAAACAAGTTGCTAGAAGACATACACTCTGTTGCAAGCTTTACCCCGTCCAATCTTCATTTTCAAAACTCGATCCTGTATCACACAATTACGATCATAAAAAATTACAAGACAGTTATTTGTATCAATGAAAGAACCAACAAATATCAAATTGTATGTCAAAGATGAAATAAAAAAGACATTTCGTACAACCAAGTTGGGAGATAATTTCACACTCCCAAAGAGTTGGCTACCACATGTGCACCATTTGGGAGACTCATGGTGCAAGGTGGTGTCTAGAGGATATCAAATAAGTATGAGAAATTATCCATCATATGGTGCAAGGCACCGATGTTAATAAGCCAATCAGTAGATAAAGATTGTGGCATACCATTCATTTTGGCGGAGGAGCAAGACATGTCAAGCATGGACAATAAGCGTGTGACCTTATCCGAAGAAAGGGATGGAGCTTGACCTACAGCCTCCTAAGTAATAATGTGAGCACCGCTGCTAGCACGCTTGGCAGAACCACTGGAGGAGGTCGGTGCAGCTCTTCTACGAACCTCTGTACGTCAGCATGTCCTTCCCCCACAGCCTGTACGACCTCTAGTGCGGCCTCCTCTCCCGCCAGTAGAAAAACTAACAAGTAAGAAACACATGTCAACAATATATCCAGTTTTACCACAATGAGTGCATCGGCAATTATCGGGTGGAGGATGACGATTCACTGCAAGTGCCATGGCATCCGAACAATAAACACAACCGTAAATAATTGAGCAGTGACGCTCTTCCTTTAGACAGACGCACGTGGCATGGGTTTTCCCATCAGTGACTTTGATACCATGTAGAAAAATTATGCACAATTGTTCTGTGTATTCATTAGGCATACAAACAAAACCTTGGGGTAAAAAGAAACATCTTTAATAAAAAAGATGTTAAAAAATAATCTCAAAATAAAGAAATTAAGGAAAATCCTAACTAATTAAGTTTTGAGGCTTCATAAGCATATCATACAACAATGCATGCATACATCATGTTGAGAGTTAGTAAGGAGTCATAAAATATGTGTATACATACATGAGATCGAAATGTTATAGTTTCATCAAATATGATATTAATGTTTTACAAACAACATTTTATAAATAATTGTTATGTGTGCTTGTCTGTAATACATATTAATATCATATTTGGAACGACAAAGGGTGACAATAATGATCGATATATAACCCATAATGCAACTTTTACATATTGTCCATCTCCTTCAAATTCTGAATTCTTTCAACGGCCTCATTCAAATCCCATCTGTAATCCAGATCTTCTCGGCAACAAACAACTCCAATCTTCAAAAGCTCTCGCATTTGTCCTCCACTCTCCCTTAAGTTTCCTTGGATCTTCGCATCAAACACTATTTCCCAATGGCTCTCATCGTTTCCCTCTGCAGCCGCTTTGGATATTGAATTGATCCAAGTTTGCAAGTGGGAATCGGGAGATGTGCCCGTCAATGTCTCCAAAATGAGAATCCCGAGAGTCCAAACGTCCGTTTTTCTGGTGGGGTGGCCGAGGTTGGCGGTGCACACCGGTGATTTGTAGGCGGCGAGAAGGTTTCGTGCCTCGCCGGGGTTGAGTATTGGGACCATGGCGTAGTCCATTAATATGGGGTTGAATGAGTGGTCGAGGAGGATGTTGGATGGCTTGAGGTGGCCGTGTGGGAGTACTAGGCTCGTTAGCTCCTTATGGAGATAGAGCATTCCCTTTGCCACACCTTTGATGATCTTTAATCTCGATGACCAATCAAGACTCGAATCTTTACCTGCATTAAACATAATGACTCACATATTTTTCTCACCAAACTGGCCCTTGACACTCGTTCTATTAGGTTAATATATTCGGCCGATAGTGTCATAGTATGACACTAAGCTATTTCATACTCCCTCCGTTCCGCAAAAAACTTCTCATTTTAACTTTTAAAGAATTTAAGGGGAGTATATTTAGGTGTTGATTTTCCAAAAATGTCTTTTGATGTGATGGATAAAATAGGATGAGATGAGTGGATAAGTGAAGAAAAAGTATGATGTGATAGATATGTTAAGAATCAATAGGAGTAAAAATGACTTTTTAATAAAAAAGAGAAGAGTTTTTGGGACGAATAAAAAAGGAAAAGGGAAGAATTTTGTGGGACGGGGAGGGAGTAAGAGTTTTCGAAAAACAAAAGCGAGCAAGGGAGTTAGAGTGAGTTTTTGGATTTAAGGATAAGAATGACTTTTAGGTCTAACGGAACACCGTATGCCCCAAAATATGACACTACCATCTAATGTTAAAATATGCCCTATATATTTTAGGGCAAGGTTCTAGTGACATTAACCACTGATGTCATCCTATGACATGAGCTCCGTTTGAGGTCCCTACGGTGCTCTGTTCGAAAAATTGATTGTTCCTACCCCCTCTAATCCCCCGGTAAACCCCCCCAACTCGGCCCGACCCGAACCAATCCCTCCTCCGCCGTCAATTGCACCCCACAAGATGTAGTTGACTTTGGAGTCAAATTTTGACTCCAAAGTCAACAACATCTTGTGGGGTGCAATTGACGGGGTGGAGGGGTTGGTTCGGGTCGGGCCGAGTTGGGGGTTTACCGAGAGGATAGAGCGGGGTATGAACAATCAATTTTTCGAACGGAGCACCGTATGGACCTCGGGTCATCTCATGACATTGATTTCCAATGTCATAGGGACCGTGATGTATATTTTAACACTAAGGTTTGACACTAAATGGTTGACGTTACATGTTTCAGAGACACGCACACACAAAAAAATGAGCATGTGGTATTAATGCTTACCATAAAGATGAGTTGCTAAGTTAGCATTGGGGACAAAATCAGAAATCAGCAATTTCTCTTCTTTCCTGTAGTAATAGGCAACAAGAGGGAGCAAATTGGGGTGCTGAAGCCCGGCGAGACGCCGCATGTGCTCCTGGAACTCTTCCCTCCCGACTTGGTTCATGTGCTTGAATCTCTTCACCACCACCGCCTCTCCGCCCATCAACACCGCCTTGTACGACGAACCTAGGTTTCCGGCGCCTAGCACCTCCGCCGACGCCCTCAGCAAGTCCTGCAGGCTGAATTGTGTCCTGTCCGCCCTCACAAACGCCAGCCTTCCCACCGACGGAGACGCCCCTGCTCCGGCGCTGCTGCTCGGAGTGCTGGCCCTGTCCGGCGACGGCGACGCGGTGGGGTTGTTGTTGGGGGAATATAATGGATCGAAGGATCCTCCTCCTCTGTGTAGGCGATAGTGGTATCGGCCCCTGTCGCCGCGGCAAATTAGGTATAGTGCGATGATTAGGGCTACGGCTAAGAGGCATATTGCTGTGAGCATTAGAATTCCTGTTATAGCGGATAATATCGACGACTCGACATCTCCAATGATTCCCGGCGGCGGCGGCGATTTCAGAGGAGGAGGAGGAGGGCTTTGGATGGCGCAATCGGAATTTACAGGCTTCCCGCATAGTCCCTTGTTGCCTGCATTGCCATTGATCACATATACTACCTCCATCCAACTGTCTTTGTCCACTTTTGACTTTTAAAGCTGTTCATCTAAGCACTTTGACTCATCAAATTCTTTCAATGTGTAAGCCTAAATATAGTCATGTGTGATCTTATTTGATTTGTCTTAACATGTAGATTATTAATATATAATTTCTATAATTTTTTAATATACAAATTACAAGATAAAATGGATTAAAGAAGTGCATTAGATGATGTGCTAAAAGGTAAGTGGACAAAGACAGTGGGACGGAAGGAGTATGATTTACTTACTTTGATTTTGTTTTGGCTAAATTGTAGTGCTAGTTCAAGTCAACATGTTATTTCCCGGTTACTCGTACTCATTCAATTCCAAAAATTTCAAGAATACTGGTCCAAGTTAGCATTACATGGTAGGTCTTTTTGTTAACTTTATAAATGCATTTGACAGACACTCTTTTTTTTTCTTCATACAATTAATTCATATTTGATATATATGATAATTACTTTTATTTTTTATTGGCTAAATTGAAGCGCTAGTCCTCCTTCAAGCCTATGTGTTATTCACGGTTAGTCTTTCTTAATTAAACCCAAAAATTCCATGAATAATTCTTCCAGTCACGTTAGCATTGCAAGGTATGAAGATTTCCCTAAAAATACTCACTAAGTTCTAAATTATTTATCAAGTTTTAACTTTTTATGATCAATAGGGTTATTCTTTGACTTATAATTTTAATTACCTTTATGATAATATATTTTCCTAGTTTTATAGATCAAAGATTGAAATTACATTTTGGGAAAAAAAGTTACAAAAAATTAATACTTTTCAAATAAAAAAATTTAAGGTAAAAAACTATTAATTGACCTCATATGCCAAATATAGTTGAACTTAATATTTTTCAATTACGATAAATTTTTTTTATCTATAATTACAATTAAAATTAATATTTTTTAAAAACAAATTAAAACTAAATTTTTTTTATTTTTTAAAAAAATAAAATTAGGGAAATTGTGATTATAAGTTTTTCCCAATTATACTAATTTTATATGGAGTACTATTTAAACTATATTAAATTAGTTATAATTGATTTTCAAAAAAGTATTAATTGAGATTTTAGGTCAGAAATATTAATTTTAATTGAAAACAATTAATTTCAAGTTTTTCTGAACTCTGAAGCCAATTACTATTTTCTTAACTCTGTTTTTAGCAGAAAGTATTAATTCTTATTGAAATTTTGTTGTTCCCTAACTTGACATTGTTGGTTAAGAATATTAGTCCTTGACCTATAAAATTACAAAAAAAATTATTATCATAATTGAAAAATTCCAAGGATCTACCACAAGTTCCCTAACAATGATTTATACATACATAAATGATAATAGTTTGTAAACTAAAATAATTATCATCTATATATATATATAATTGTCTATGAATGTCATTCGTGTGGGCTACATTGGTGGGTTCCTAGCATGATCATTTATAATTTTAACGTATATTATATCTCAAACATTAATCTGCTTAAATCAAAATTTGATATACTTTAGGACGGAATGAGTATTTTAAAAAAACTAGACCAACGGAAGCAAGAGTAAGTTAATTATTATTAAAAATTTGACGTGTATAAAATATGACTCAATTGTATGAAGAAAAGATGATTCTTCACATATATTTATTATGGAAAATGAAAAACACATAGGGCCTAACGACAAAATTAATGGAAGGATCAATCGTGCAACGCTAACGTGACTTGAAAGACTATTTGTGAAATATTTAGAATTAAAAAAATGGGTAATTTATCTAAATAAAACTAAAATATAATGACTTTCTTAATATAGTATCATATGTTTTTATTTCCCAATATATGACCATTGGTTATTTTCTATTAGGCATTATTCAACTAAATATCCAGCATCACTTGGGTATTATTCTTCTCACTAGACATTATTTAGTTTTATTTAAAGAATAAAATTATTTAAGTATTATATTGAGAAATTACTTATGTTTTAATTTGGACTATCGGTGCATAACAATGATGGAGCCTACAATTTAGTTTTTTTTGTTCAAAATGCTTGGGAAGTGGAATGATGTATGCCTGAAAATGCAGAGGGATCCATGGCGGAGAGGCTGGGAGGGATTGGCCCATCAAGCCGATTATTAGACGCGTTGAACATCTTGAGTCCGGTGCGAAACTCCGGTATGTTCCCGGTGAAACCGTTGTTTTCGAGCCGGAGCTCCAGGAGCCTCGGCGTGGTCGCCAGCGACGTGGGAATCCTCCCGGTAAACCGGTTGTTCGCCAGGTGAACTTTCTTCANATGCCTGAAAATGCAGAGGGATCCATGGCGGAGAGGCTGGGAGGGATTGGCCCATCAAGCCGATTATTAGACGCGTTGAACATCTTGAGTCCGGTGCGAAACTCCGGTATGTTCCCGGTGAAACCGTTGTTTTCGAGCCGGAGCTCCAGGAGCCTCGGCGTGGTCGCCAGCGACGTGGGAATCCTCCCGGTAAACCGGTTGTTCGCCAGGTGAACTTTCTTCAAAGAACCCATGCCGGAAAAAGCATCGTCGCCGATCTCCCCGCTAAATCTGTTGCCGGACAAGAACAGAGACTTGAGCGTCCCCAATTTCCTCCAGTCCGGCATCAACCCTTCAAATCCGTTGTTCTCGAAGCTCAGAAACCGGAGGAATCTCAGCGCCGCGAGGGCATCGACGTCGACGTCTCCGGACAGACCCAACCCGTCGAGCTGGAGGCCCATTACGTCTCCGTTCAGGCAGAGGACGCCTTTCCAGTTCCCCGCGTTGCCGGAGCACGGGCTGGTCGACGTGTTCCACGAGATCAGGACCCGGTCCACGGCGGCGCCGTTGGTGGATGATATGAGGGTGGTTTTGAATTCCACCAGAGCCGCGGCAGAGCTTCTTGCGGGGTCGTTAATTTCCGGATCTGACGACGACGCCGGCGAGGAATGCAGGCAGAGCATTGCAATGAGGGAAAGGATAACGGGCGGAGCAGTCATGTCCCGACGCCCGCCGCCCGCCTGCACGGCTGCTCCGGCCCGGATCATGTCCCACTTTTCGACGGTATTGCTAATTTTCTTTCTCTTATGTTTCTAATGTAGTTGGTTTAATTTATCGCTCTTTTGTCTTTTCCCCAATGAGATTTTGGGGGGAGGGAGAGAGACAGAGAGATTGGTGGTTAATTAAGGATGAAACAGAATGAGAAAATTCATGAAATTATATGTGTACAAGAGATTATTAAGGTAAAATCTGTATTTTTTAATAGGAAAAATTATCCAAAATAATCTCAACTTTACCTGGTCTTTCAAAAATAATCCCACCTTTCACATAGTAATCCAAACTTTACTGAATTTTGCGAGTTCTGGGTCGCCGTTAAGTTTCTAACGGAGGGTTAACGGAAATGGCTGTTTTGGGTAACAAAATGAAAGTTGAGATTATTTTTGATGAATTTTCATTTTTTTTATTTTTTTTGAATTTTTCATTTAAATTTTTAAAATTACTTTCTACCTCCATCATCATTTATTTTTCCTTTTTTAAAGATTAGTCTTAGTTTAAAAAAATAAAAATAATAAATATAAAAAAATAAAAAATGAGAAATGTAACTAAAATTATAAAAAAATAATAAAATAAATAAGGTAATCAATAGAAACTAACTTAAAATTGGTAATAAATAAAATAAAAATATACGGGTGGGTTTTAATATTTTACGCACTATACAAAGTATTAACGTATTACTTCTTATTTTTTAGAAAAAATTATCTACAATAATTCCAACTTTACCGAATTGCTTGTTCTTTTAAAAAATTAGTAGTATATTAAGACTCCGTATAGTGTGTAAAATGTTAAAACCCACCACTCCGTATATATTTATTTTATTTCTTACCATTTTATGTTTAATTTCTATTGATTACATTATTTATTTCATTAATTTTGTATGGTTTTAGTTATTTTTCACATTTTCATTGTTTTTTATATCTATTTTTTTATTTTTTCTAAGGTAAGAATAATCTTTAAAAAAGAAAAAGAAATGGAGGTTGAAAGTAATTCCAAAAATTTAAATAAAAATTTCAAAAAAAATTAAAAAACAAAAATTCATCAAAAATAATCACAACTTTCATTTTGTTGCCTAAAACAGGCATTTCCGTTAACCATACGTTAGAAACTTAACGGCGACCCAAAACTCGCAAATTTCAATAAAGTTGGGATTATTATGCATCACAGTGAAAGGTGAGATTATTTTTGAAAGACCGGGTAAAGTTGGGATTATTTTGGGTAATTTTTCCTTTTTAATATGACTATTTTTTTTTGGGGTAAAATGTTTTAAGTCAACAAGTCATCACCTCTGCCATTAGATATGTAGGGCCTATTTGAAAATAGCTTTAGAGATTAGCGTTGGCGTTTTAGATAAAATTTTAGTGGTGCGGATTAATTTGAAAATGCTGACGCCAAACGCGGGTCGTTGATAGCCTTTTCAAAATGCTAACGTTATTCCCAAACAGGGCCGTAGTGACCAAAGGAGTATTCAACCCTCTAAACCTAGCAAAATATGACCCGATCTATTTTTTACACGAAGTCCGGTCAGAAAATACTGAATTTTGAACACAGATTTTGATGATCGAATCTGAAGTTGACCGAAGCTGAAATGAACCGCTAAAAATGGATCAAATTCAATTTAATCCGAATCTGCCCTAACCGACCCGCTAATGTAAGATTTTTTGAAAATCATATATTTTACTACTCGATTTTAGTATATAAAATTAATTTTCAGACAAAATTTTATTGATATTGCAAAGTTATCTTACTTTTTCTAAAACTTATGCATTTTCTAAATTCCTTATATTCATTTATATATCTAAAAACTATTTTAGAGTCTAAAATAAAATAATCTAATAAATTTAATACATATTTTTTGGTATTCTAAATTTATTTAATACAAAATGCAAGTGTTAATGTGAATTTAAAATTTTAAAAACCAAAGTCATAATCCGTTGGGTCGACCCGAACCTGGTGACATTGGGTCATGAACATAGAGTTCTCGACCCGAACCCGAAATAGCCCGAACCCAAAATGACCGACTCGAACCCGACCTGACCGACCGATTTGCCAGCTCTACGTCCCTCCAGAAGAAGAACTAGCCAGGCTCAGCTTTTGCTCCATCTCAAGATTAATTTCTTCTGAAGTGAGCCATCTAGAAAGTTGATTGAGAGTGATGTCTCTGTTTTGCAGACGAATCTTTTGTTTGGAACCAGAATGCTCAGCAGGGAGACCATGTATAACGATATTGACAACATCACGTTCATGAATGTTTTCACACAAGACATCACGGTCGGCAAGAATCATGGTAATTTCATCAAGATATTGAGTCATTGATTTGATACCTTTCTAAATAGTGTATAGCTTGTCGCGAAGTTGATAAGTATGTGTGGTAGAGATAGAATAGTACCTTGTTGCTAATGCATCCCACAAGGCAGCATAGGTGGTGAAGCCCCGACCATATTTAATGAAGATTACATACATATAACTCGGTACCATGATACAGTAATTGGGCTTATTGAATAATAAAGATTACATCCCTCTATATAGGTGTAGAAATTAATAAGAGATAAAATAGTTTGTATATTGAATTGTTCTACTAATTACAAGGGGTTTCTCCTTTATTTATAGGAGAGGAAAAAGACCAAAACACAAAAGGAATTCTACTCCTACATGGAAACAAATCACTAAATATGAACTAGGAAACAAATCAAGAGCAATCCCACTTAGAATGGGATTTGCTTTCCTTCTTGCCGTGTGGTCCAAGGAACACGGCCCAACACCCCCCCTCAAGCTGGAGCATGCAGATTCTAGACGCCCAGCTTGGACAGCAAATGAGAAAACGGAGCGGAAGCCAAAGCCTTTGTGAAGAGATCTGCCGGTTGTTCATTGGTGGAGATGTGGCGAGTACACAAAACACCTCGTTGGATTTCGTCACGCACAAAGTGGCAATCAATTTCAATGTGTTTCGTACGCTCGTGGAAGACAGGATTAGCTGCAATATGGAGGGCTGCCTGATTATCACAGAACAACCGCATGGGTTATTTGTGACGTACACCAAGGGAGAGAAGCAGGGATTTCAGCCATTTTAGTTCACAAACAGTGGTTGCCATAGCCCTGTATTCGGCCTCAGCCGAAGATCGGGAAACGACACTTTGTTTCTTTGTTCGCCAAGATACCGGAGAATTGCCAAGAGTGATAAAGTAGCCAGTAACAGAACGTCGAGTCAAGGGACACCCAGCCCAATCAGAGTCACAGAAAGCTTTAAGGGTAAGATCACTCTGTACTGGAAGAAACAATCCTTGCCCG